ATTCAATACATTTTCGACTTCTCAGTGAAGCTACCACAAAAATCAGCAGCTGATCCTCGAACACTGCCCAAGTGCAATTCTGGCAGTTTAGCGTTCAAGATTTCTACATATTGGACACCCTCCCGTGCCTAATTTCAACAAACGGTATATAGGCTTTATAAACTGCTTAGATCCTGCAAGCAGCACACAATCTGCAATAACAAACAAAAAACCGAACAGAAGCAAAATGACCTTGAAAAAGGCATTCCTTTAGTTTTAAAATGCGTGCCATCGTCTTGCTTGATGACGAGTTTGATGAAAATTTGTTTTGTTGAGGATGCTGCCGCTGCTGCCGAAACTGTTTTGTTTTCAGTGGGCTGTACTGTTCCGTTACTACGCCAAGCTGGTGGCAGCGTCTTCTCAGCTTCTCTCACATCACGATTACTACTGCATTTTGGAGCAGACCGAGCGCAGTCAGCAAGCTGCAGCTGCCGCTCGCTGCCAGTACTTCGTTGATGGGTAGCTGCTTGAGGTGGCACCACTGCGGTTTCATTTTCCGAATCGCTATTATCACTAATAATTCTGGAAATAAATATTCCATAAAGATGTAAGAGACACTTCGCTTTTATAGGTTTTTGTTTCGTCGCAGCATTTGCTACAACCTGTACTTCTTAAAAAGAACATCTAGAAAGTTGGATTGCTTTGAAAGCTCCAACCTTGCAGTCGGGCGGGCACGAACTCCACTCTTTGGTCGCTGAGAATGTGAAGATTCCGCTGAAGCCGATGTGCATGGAAAGTCGTCATGCAGTTCAGTATATAAATCGTCCACATCCCATACAAATTCGGAATTTTTAACTAAAACAAAACTGAAGACAATGAATATTGCCAGTTAAAAGTCTAAGGGCAAAAAAAAGCTGAAAACGACTTTAAAATAAGAAGCAAGAGACAACAGATGGATAAATCAGACTGCTAAAAGGTGTCTAGACAAAACAAGGCAGACACAGCGAGGGAGCGCAATGGAAGAGTTAAACTGAGGCGGACAAAGTTATAAAGGAAAACGTGCACGAATAAACTTATAAGTTTGCTATGCAGATGGCGCAAAGGAATATCGCGGTGAAATAATAGCTGCTAATATACCCAGAGAACGTGAAACCGTAAAAAAATTCAAGCTAATTTAAAATAAATAATAACGCGCACCAGACTAGCCGGTGCGATCATGCGTTTTGCGCAACTCCCTCCACCGAACGACTGCCTATTAATGATTTTCACTGGTTTGTATTTTAGTTTGTGCAAAAATAGTTGGAACGCTGAAAAATAGTTAAAAATCTCACGTACCGGCACATGAAAGCTGAACTTGAAACCTGGAAGGGTGAATATCCTTCCAAAATTTCAATTCCCTAATTTTTCTGGCTTTCGAATCTTTCAAACAAAACTATCACGTGGTCATACATGAGACCTTGGCACACTTAGGTACTGAATTTGAGTATGTGAAGCCCTTAGATAAGAAACATCCTTCTGAAATTTTCAGCCTCCTAATTCTTCTGACTCCCGAGATTCCCGCCAAAACTTTCACAAGGACGTTGAAAATTTGCAAAATTGCACGTGGGCAGGAGTTGCTACGCTAAAATTTTAGCTTCCTAGCTTTTGCAGTTCACGAGACAGTTTCCCTGTTTCACGAGGCCATCCGTGTACCAGGGGCGCGTGAAGGCTGAATCCAAATTTACGGAAATCATACGTTGATAGGGCAAATCACCGTAAAATTCCAGATTCCGAACTTTATTGGATCCCGAGATAATAATTTACGTGCCAAAACTTTCGCGAGGCTGCAGATGACACCCGAGAAAGCGAGAACGCTGAATTTGAATTTGCAAGGTCGTGCGTGGGCAGGTGGCCGTTGTCCTAAAATTCCAGTTTCTTAGATCCCGTAATTCCCGACATAATAATTTACCCACCAAAATTTTCACGGGGCCGTTCGTGCGATCCGCGGACAGAAGAAGGCTAGATTTAAATTTTCTGGATTGCATATGGGCAAGGGATATGCTCACAAAATTTCAGTCTTCTAACTTCCGTGGTTTCGGTGATAATAATTTTACTTGCCCAAACTTCTCCGAGGCCGTACTTGTTAACCGCCGGTACGGGGAGGTTGAATTTAAATTTGTGGGGTCATGCGCGATTGGGGAACGTTCCTCTAAATTTTCAGCTTCCTAGCTTCTGTGGCTCTCGAGTTGAAAGTTGCGGACAAGTTGCTGCGGACACAAACACAGACAACCCCGTGACAATATCGATTTGTACTGCTATTACACAGCAGAAGGCGCATAAAAAACAGCAAGATTTTCGAAATTCCGAAACTGGATGTCTGGAATGTTTCGTGGACGGAAGCAGCTCTTTCATTCATTATCTAATCTAAACAGGTTTAGACTCAAACAATTGCAACGCCGTCTCATGAATGAACAGAAAAAATTGATATACCTTATGCAGCTAGGTGCTAAACAGAGCGCGTCTGAAACAGCAATGATTTTGTGCAGATTCATTCCAACACATCAGCGCATTACACAATTTATTCGTCGAGTCAGAGCATTCAGGAAGAGGTGGCCTAGCCGGGGTAGAGCTGCTTTAACTTCAGCGATAAAAGTCATAGTGGAGTTTACAAAGAAGAATGTCACAACTTTCACAGAGATAACAAATAATTTATTGGAATGGAAGACAAACCTGCTTTTCGGCTCTTCCCTGTTGGTGCTGAAGGTGCTGGCGCAGATGTTGTTGCTGATGGCGACGACGGAGCAACTTCCAGTAAGTTATCGACACCAATGAGTAAATCATCAAGCGGGGGCTCCAGATGTCTCAAACCATCTTCCTCATCCTACAACAGTAAACAACTTGTTCTAATGATTTTTTGAATTATACGTGAAATACACGCTTCCAGTACCTTTGTAACCAAAAATTTTTGATAACCACATATGCTCAAATTCCTTCTTACAAAAATTACTCCCTTCCACTTTTTTTAGTGATTAAGTTTTCCCCAACATTTATTTTTAATCTACAATTAAAAAAATTTAGACAGTTTCTAAAACACTGAATAAATTTAAACCTCATCAAAAAGTTCATCATCGCCATCCCCCAGCAAAGCATTCTTTCGATCGTGTGCTACCGCTCCGCGTCCAACGGCATTCATCATTTTCTGATACTCATGCAAATTTGCTACATTCGGGTCCAGCACTCGTCGCCGCTGCGATGATGCCTCATTCTCTAAACGAGGCAATTTTGCCGCTGGCTTATCATCCACTTTGAGCTTCTTCGGTGGTGGCTCGCTGTTCACCGTAATATGTGCTGCAAAAAACGCATAAAAAAGTTCAAAAATAATGAGATCAAAGACTGAAATCCAAACAATCTGCGATCAAAGTTAGTATGGAGGCAGTAAAGTTGGATAAAGTGGCCCATTATTATTTTAGCAGTAACATAGAAGGGCAGCTGATAAGTCTCCGTGGATAAATGAAGATTCTATATTAGTGCTACTACTAAGACGCTCCCATGCTACGGGCGCAACTACGTC